GCCAGCTGATAAGAATTCAACTCCCTAATTAACCCTTCTGGCTTGCAAAAAGATTAGGGAGGTTTACAAAGACGATTCTCCCCCATAATAAAATCTCACAGCTGAATACAATGAACATGCAAGGCTAGGTCCTACAACCTCTGTTCCTTACAGGGAGTTACCTTAATGGGATATAAGTCAGATAATGTAAAAATGGCTGAACCAGAATATGCATGGGTAAATTCAAGAGCTGTGGTTCCAGGAAAATTTATATGCCTGAAGAAGATTTGTTCGAAACACATAGGCTATGCCCGGGAGGCGTGTTGCTAGGCTTGCTTGCTAGCTGAATCACCTCATGGGAAAATACATCTGCTAGACTTGCTTGCTAAGCTGAATCATCACAGTGAGAAATACAAGCTGCCTGCTAGCTCTACCTGATGGATCATCACTTGGGAAATGTACAATAGGTTGCTGCCTTGTTCGGTACACATTACTGTACATTGGTATCTATCCCCCATCAGGAAGAAGACAGTTTATACTGGAGTGGCTTTCTGCGATTATGGACTCTTTGCGTTATGTAATTTAGTTTGAAAGTGTTTGAAATGTTGATGTTGTCATTTGAAAGTGTTTACAATACACTAGAGTCGATGTTGTGTATATAAATTAAATATGTTTAGCTATAAGTGCATGTGAATATTGTGTTTATTATTTCAACATGGTGTTTTCTGTGTTTACCCACCTGGAGACTGGCAACTCTACCTCATGAACACGCTGCCTTAGACTGAATCAAACCATCCGTCCGTCAAGGCCAGTCTTGTCTATTCAGACTGGCAGCGGCTCTCCAGGCAGATAAAGGTCTTTCACATCAACCGTGACGTGATCCTCTTTAACTGGAGATGCCAGGGATCGAACCTGGGACTTCCTGCCTGCCAAGCAGATGCTCTGCCACAGAGCCGTGGTTTCCCCATCGAGCTCTCAGGCCAGCCTCTGCCGGTGGCTTCTTATGCTCTCCCTTGCCGTTAAATGTGGTTTTATGCTGTTTTTATAGCTGTTTCTAATAGCTCGTTCTTATGAATTTTTAAAATCCTGATCATTCTTCTTTTATTTTTATTTTTTGCTTTGCTAGCCTCCTTGAGCAAGTCTCTGGAGAGGTGGCCTATAAATCAATGAATAGGGCCCGCTCTGTTACTCAGAACAAGCCTCTTTGGAGATCCAACTGCACACACCGGTGCACTCTGCCATAATTGCTCTCCGATCTAATTTTAAAGTCTCCTGGAGTTCTTCCGAGCAACAATGTTTACCATTTATTTTCCCAAGAGAACCAGCCCCGAGGAACTGGCAGGATTGTCAGCAAGTTGAATCACAACCCCGATCAGAACAAGAGAGATTCCTATTCTCCAGGCTGATGATCTGGAAGCATTATGGCGAGATAACCAGATGTGGCTTTCTCTGTTGTATCTTTTCTCTTCCTGTCTTTGAGTATATTATACTACAGACGGTTGCTCAGAAAGAAGGCCGGCGAGAACTAGCTGAAAGAGAGTCAAGGAATTCTAAAATGATGCTCCCTTTCGGGAAAGTTTCAGGAGAGTATCCGTGTTATCTGCGGAAGAAGAAAAAGAAAAGAAGAAGAATGGATTCTGTAATGTATCCAGTCCAGACAAGCCCAGAGACAAACGTCGAGCTTCGCTCCAAGAGACAATGGACTATGTGGATCCTAGCCCGCTCCAATCAGGGGGCTAGGTCCCCGGCCGAGAGCCTATGGGACTCTCGGCCACTGTAAATAACCTATAGGGAAGTTTTGGGTGGTGGTTTCTCGGGGGATATAAGAACATAAGAACATAAGAGACGCCAATGTTGGATCAGGCCAAAGGCCCATCCAGTCCAACACTCTGTGTCACACAGTGGCCAGAAATACCAGTGCCATCAGGAGGTCCAGCACAGTTGTCTTGTTCTGGATAGAATAAAGTACGCTTTGCTGAAATCACTCTCCGTTTGCGTACTTTTCAGATTCATACCCTGCCCTTGAGAGAATAGTTCTGAAAGAACTTATGACTGACCCAAGGTCACACCAGCAGCTGCATGTGGAGGATTGGGAAATCAAACCCGGTTCTCCCAGATTAGAGTCCGCGTACTTAACCACTACACCAAACTGACTCTCAAGAGCTGGTTTCAAGTCCAGTAGCACCTTAAAAGCCAACATGATTGGGGGGGTTTGAGCTTTTGGGAGTGTGTGTAAAGTGCCATCGAATAGCAGCCAAATTATAGTGACCCTGTAGGGCTCTCAGGGCAAGAGACTACAAAGGTGGTTTACCACTGCCTGCCTCTGCGTAGCTACCAGGGAATTCCTTGGTGGTCTCCCATAGATAGGGCTGACCCTGCTTAGCTTCCAAGATCTGATTTATTTACTTGTTTGTTCGACTTTCATCCCGCCTAAGCGGCTCAGGGTGGCTTACAACATCAATAAAACCAGTATACATAAAACACGAACAATTCAGATAAAACAGTTTGACTATAAACACAATAAATATCAATAAAAATGGCTCACTATATATTATAGCTAAACTTCTACCACAGTGTAATCACTACCATTTACATGCCTTAGTGGGTCGGCAAGGCTCAGCCGGCATGACATCAGTCTCACTGATATGCCCGGCGGAAAAGCTCCGTCTTCACGGCCCTGCGAAATTGCTGGAGATCTCGCAGGGCCTGGATCTCGCTCGGGAGCTCATTCCAA